GTGTGACATCATATAATTATAATGAAATATTCTGATGTGAAACAATAGCTTTACACAAAAGCCTGTTTTATTGTGCTTTAAGTGATAATACTAGGAAATGCTTTTACCCAAAGTGCATTAATGGACATTAAAAAAAAAGTTTTATCAAATATCAATTTGAAAGTTTGTACAGAATTGTCTGTCTTATCTATCTGTCTGTCTGTCTGTCTTATCTGTCTGTCTGTCTGTCTGTCTTATCTGTCTGTCTGTCTGTCTTTCTGTCTGTCTGTCTATCTATCTATCTATCTATCTATGTATCTGTCTGTCTGTCTACCTGTCTATCTATCTATCTATCTATCTATCTATCTATCTATCTATCTATCTATCTATCTATGTATCTGTCTGTCTGTCTCCCTGTCTGTCTATCTACCTGTCTATCTGTCTGTCTATGTATCTGTCTGTCTGTCTATCTACCTGTCTGTCTGTATGTCGGTCTACCTGTCTATCTATCTATCTATGTATCTGTCTGTCTGTCTACCTGTCTATCTACCTGTCTACCTGTCTGTCTGTCTATCTACCTACCTGTCTGTCTGTCTGTCTGTCTGTGTGTCTATCTATCTATCTATGTTTCTGTATGTCTGTCTGTCTGTCTACCTGTCTACCTGTCTATCTATCTATCTATCTATCTATCTATCTATCTATCTATCTATCTATCTATCTATCTATCTATCTATGTAGCTGTCTGTCTACATGTCTGTCTATCTATCTATCTATGTATCTATCTGTCTGTCTGTCTGTCTGTCTATCTATCTATCTATGTATCTGTATGTCTGTCTGTCTGTCTACCTGTCTGTCTGTCTGTCTGTCTGTCTACCTGTCTGTCTTTTTTTTTTTAAATGACCATTTAGTTTTTATTCACTTTTATTTCAGTTTTAGTTGTAGTTATTTAAGTACATCGGGTTCAACTAAATAAAAATGAGAAATAAAATAAGCTGAAATAAAATAAGTAGAGTTATAGAGTTAATGTTTTTTTTAATGGTTTTAGTGTGTTTTAGTTAACTTTAATAATTCTGATGTTTTTGAGTTAGAATTAGGAGCCTTTCATACGAAACACGTCACATTTTGTGTCCATTCGTGTAATTGTTGGTATATTTAAAAAGTCACGTGGATGTCATTTAGCCATTGCTTTGCATCTTACTGTTTTTTTTTAAGATCATAAGGTGTCACACTAAAGGTACTTCAATTCCTTATTACACAATGTACAAATGCATACATTTTTAATGTTGTTTTTTTATAATTAGATGCACTCGATGAACATGTTAATGACCGCTCCAAAATAACCCAGTGACTAATATAATCTCATGTGTTTGTGCAGGAGTGATCGATGACCGAGGGAAGTTTATTTTCATCACGCCGGAGGAGCTGAACGCTGTGGCTCAGTTCGTGAAGAAGAGAGGAAGAGTCTCCATCTCAGAACTCGTTCAAGCCAGCAACACCCTCATAAACCTCACGCCTGAGCTCCAGAGCAGCGCATGAACCTCCTGGAGGAGCCCAGAATGCTGTTTCCATCGCGAGGACTTGTAAATAAAGCGGGATGCATACTATCATTTACAGTCTATGTCATGTCAGAACCAGCGTACAGCGCTCATTTCCTAATCTAATTTCCCTTACGTCACTCTATAAGCATCATTTACCGTAGATACAGCCATGTCTGCTGTCATCTCAATCACTTCATGAAATAGCTGGAGGCTAATACAGACGACTCGTTTTCAGAGGCAGAGAAGGAGATTTTATGTTGTTATTGTTATACACACACACACACACACACTTTAAACAGGATTCCCTCAGTCGTGCTTTGGATAAAAGTGTCTGCTAAATGCTTAAATGTATGTTTTTCTAGTAATATTCAGCTCTGCAGTATATCATTGCATAGAAATGCTGTAATAGTTCTTAAAAGATTTGTAGAACAGCTTATCTGGTCATTTAAAACAACTCAAAAAGTCATGGATATTTGGTCAGAAACTGTGTTTTCCTCTCGCTCCTCACTGCCGTCAAATAAAATGGCAAAAAGCATAAAAAACAAGTGACACTTTAAACAGGGCTTTTATTGCTTCTTTTCTCATTTTACTTGTTTTTCTTAATCTAGCTGGTCTTTATTTTAGTTCTACCCAGCGTGTTCCTGAGAGAGACCGAGCGTGTATATGGGAGCACAGTGTTATTCCTGCCAGGGTTTATAATAGTGTGCTGGTTGTTCGTCATTTGGTTGATTTTCATTTTGCACTGATTATTTTAATTTTTTGGTTTTAAAGATGTAGCCTACAGATATAGCCAGAGGAACATTACGATAAACAGTAAAACATAAATAGAAATAAAAAAGTTGAATAAAAACATAAAATTGTTTACAAAAATTAACATCTTTTTGTTCAAACATACTGTAGTTTTCAGGTATTGCTGTACTACCAAATTCAAAACAAAGGCTTATTTCCCCATATTTACATCTATACTAACTTCAGCTAATATAAAAGTAGCCTATTAATTAAATAATGCATATCGTAAGTGGAAAAATGAATGAAATCTTCTCGATACAGTTGAAAGCTGGGCATGATGTGATTCTTAATGAGACTAAAAAGAGACAAATCGTGTAAACCACAAAATGCAACAATGTCACAATTAAATCAGATTTTATTTGATTTTGTTTGTGATTATTTATGAGGTAGTGTACACACATTAACACAGCCATTCCAGAATAACTCGCATATCAGCAGCTTTTCCTTTAATACAGTTAAATCTAACCTTTGAAGCCTGAATCATACTTTGATGTATTGTATTTTTTTAATCTGAGCTAAATGTGTGGATGTGAGATTCTGCGGCGCGCCTCTAGAGGGCGCTGTGTGAGGGAGCTGCGCATGCGCAGTGCTCTGTGTACTTCCACATTGGCTCGGCTCTTCTCGGGACCTTCTGTGTTTTAATCCGACGCGATGCGCTTTTATTTACTGGAGCTTTACACTTCGACAGACTGAGCTGGGCGAGAGCGGCGGGTTACCGACGCTTTGTGCAGTGCACACAGAATGTCTGAATGCATTCATGTGTGTCGTTTACATTATAATGTTATAATAATGTTGCGAGCGATACTTCGACTGAAAGCGTCAAGGTGAGAAGCGTCGTTTTCATGCAGTCACGTATTGTTATTAATCTGGATTTGGATCTTGTTTTGGTTTTGTTATTCTCAAATGATTTGTAATGCTTAATTTTTTATTTATTTTTAATGAGATGGTAGAGACCGGGGCTAGTTGTCACAGGGTCAGGGTGTCACGTGATGTAATTTTATGTCAATTGCATATTCTTTAGGCCAAAACTGGTTTGGTGTATAATTATGTTATTAATATATAATTAAATAACATACTGGAATCCTGTGTAAATGTGCAATAATTTATTTTAAAATACTTTGTATATACATTCTTAGTCATGTCATGAGAATTATTCTCTGAAATATATAGTGTGACAACTAGCCCCGGTCTCCCTCACATGAATGCACTTTATTGTGTGACAGTCACGGGTCCGCACAGTAATATTGCATGTGTTTCATTGCTCTTTCTCCGAAGTTACTCTGTTTATGAGGAACCATAAACGCTCAAAGTGTGCAAAAACAAATGTGGATAAGGTGAGTCGTCCATTTTTCCTTTGAATAGTTTCTGCAGAAGATGCACTAGTCTGTGCCTCTTTTCTCACGTGCTCATCGCTTAATTGCATGTGGTCCTCAGATCAGCATGACCCTGGAGTTGACCCCTGCGGCCGTGTGCCAGTGCTTCACGCTGGTGTCGCTGTGCACATCTATCGCGGATCCCAACTGGATCCAGGTCCAGAACTGCTCTGATTCGAGCAGCAAGCTCATCTACGGTGTGGCCTTCACTCTACACGCGTATCAGAACCTCACAGACACAGGTGTGAACTTATAGCTCTGTTTATCGCTGTAAACAACCTCAGGCCATCCGAGATCAGGATGAGGTTGTTTCTTCGTCAGATTTGGAGAAATGTAGCATTGCATCAGTGTCTCAGCAATGGATGTGAATGGGTGCCGTCAGAATGAGAGCTGATAAAAACATCACAATAATCCACAGCACTCCAGTCCATCAGTTAACATCTGGAGAAGACAAAAGCTGAAACACATCCAGCATTAAGACGCTTTTAACTAAAATACATTGAGTCTATAATCCATAATAATGCTTCCTCCAGTGAAAAAGTGTTCTGGTGTGAATCAGGAGAGAAATCTGCACAGATCAAGCAGCGTTTAAACAGCTCTAAACAAATATCTGAGACACTGATGCAAGAGCTATACTAGCTCTTCGACTTGAGTTCTGTATTGTAAAATATGAAGACGATGAATGCAATCCTCTTCATGCAGTAACAGCACAGCGTGATGAACTGTGTATAATAATGGGTTTTGTCTGGTTTTGTCTGCCGGAGGTCCGTTGGGTGGGCTGCACGGATGGGGAATGTGGCTGCTGTACTCTCTAGCCGTTCTCTGCTACAGCGCCGTCCTGTTTTCCAGTTCCTCTTTCCTGCTGGATTTCCTCGCAGCAGCTGGCACTCACTCAAAGCTGGTGACGTTACTGCACGTCTCTACAGGTGCCTCATGTTAAACTCAAACTCACTGCACTCTTGTAAATTGTTCTTAAATCCAGTCTTACATAAATGTCAGTCATAAGGGTCAATTTTTTTAAATTGAGATTTATGCATCATCTGAAAGCTGAATAAATAAGCTCTCCATTGATGTATGGTTTGTTAGGAGAGGACAATATTTGGCTTGAGATACTACTATTTGAAAATCTGGAATCTGAGGGTGCAAAAAAATCTAAATATTGAGAAAATCATCTTTAAAGTTGTCCAAATGAAGCTCTTAGCAATGCATATTACTAATCAAACATTAAGTTTTGATATATTTACGGTAGGACATTTACTAAATATCTTCAAGGAACATGATCTTTACTTAATATCCTAATGATTTTTGACATAAAAGAAAAATGTATAATTGTGACCCATACAATGTATTGTTGGCTATTGCTACAAATATCCCCCAGCGACTTGACACCGCTTTTGTGCTGCAGGGACAGATATTATGCCGTTAAGAATTATTTTATGGATGATTGATGCAGTTTTTTTTTCTGTTCTTGTTTCATAACTCGGTATGCATTAAGGCAAGACACTACAGGCAAAACCTGTGTTTTGTTTCATGCACTGGTCAGTTTTAAGCTCTATTTTGTATTATGCCGTTAAGAATTATTTTATGGATGATTGATGCAGTTTTTTTTTTCTGTTCTTGTTTCATAACTCGGTATGCATTAAGGCAAGACACTACAGGCAAAACCTGTGTTTTGTTTCATGCACTGGTCAGTTTTAAGCTCTATTTTGCTTTAATAACGTGCCTTCATTCAGACTAGTGGAAAGAAAACTTCCAAAATACAACTTTAAGTGTTTATTTTATTGCACTTTATCTATTTGCATCTGTAGATTTCAATTCTAATGCAGAGTTTGTTTCTCCGCTTCAGCAGCTCTTACGAACACCAGCATTTACAGTTTTATTCCTATATCTATTATGAAATAAAAATGTATTAATTTCTGTCTGCTGACAGTATTTTCTGATTTATGGAGTGATAAAAAGTGATAGTGTTTCCCTCTGAAATCTGGCTTCATCCAATTTATGCAAATTAGTGCACAATTAATTACATAATGCATAACTTGCATATTAAAACTCAGAATTTCAGAAAACTTGTAATAAATAGTAATTGTTTTAATGTGCTGTGATTAGCTAACTAGGGAATTATAGTGATATCTATTAGTTGAAATCTTTACCATCTTAACCTGTGGTGTTTAGCTTTAAACTTTAGTCGCTCAGCTCATTTGGGTTAAATTATTACTTTAAGTCGCTCTGAGAATTTTAGTTAATATTTCAATTATTTAACAATGCATTCATATGTTCACGGTTCTCTGATGTTAGTTAATGGTCACATGACATGCAGCTAAACAAATAGATCATTTCTTTGACTATCGTGTGTGTCGCACATTTCCCCTCAGCGTTCTTCTGCGTGGCGGTTTTGGCTGTGTGTGCGGCCTGTATGAGTGTGATTGAGCACAACCTGCAGCGAGGGAAGACTGAAAGCCACCCGGCCCTCTGCATGTCTGCAGGAGAAAGCTTTTACATCGAGATGGTGGGCCTGTTCTTCTCCGTCATAGCGTGCACTTTGGCCCTCAAGGGTCGTCCTGAACCCATCAGGCCCCGTGAGTACCTGAGCGTGGATGGAGCGGACAGCGACACGGAGCCTTTGATCGGTGGAGCTGAGAGGCAGGAGTAAACAGACAGAGTTATGCACTTCATTTCTAATGACAGAACACGAGAGCAGTGCTGAAGAAGAGCTGCTGTGTGATCAGGAGCGTGTATAGGATTTAAGAATCGGCTCCTTTCGGTTCATGAGTGTGAATTTGAATTGAATTGATCACAGCATACAGGATCTCTCAAAGTTATGAGCAGTAACATTAATAGAACGTTAGTTCAAAGTTATCTAGTCTTTAATAATGTTCTCAAAACATTCATGGGTCAAAGACGTTAAGATGTCCGCATCAAAAGAAATGTACAAAAGTGATTTTATGTCCATAGAAAGCACATTAAATGTAAGTAAAGATTTCTACTTTTAAGTAACGTTTTTGGAGAATAAAATGTCAAAATTTGGTTGAAATAATGTCATTCAGTGTAACACAATATTTTTGTAAAAATTCAAACAACATGCTTATTCTGACGTGTACATATTAAAATATATACAAGAATAAGGGAGCATATTAAATTTGATTGTGTTTTAAATGAGTAAAAAATGCTTACTGACAAATGGGCTAAACCTAGGATAGTGGAAAATTTTAAATGACAACTAATTAGTATTTGGGGTGAAAGTAATTAGTCTTTTAATTCATCATAAATTGATTTTTGTTGTAAATGTGCCTGACAAGATTGTTACACTGAATGATATTTTAGTGGGTGTCTTCTGTAAATCAGGGATGAATGTATGATATTTATTTTTTGCTCAGAAAAACAAAAACAAAATTGCAATTAAATTAAACAGAAAACTTTTACATTTTTTGGGGAAAAACAATAACGATTTAAAGCAGTATTACACTTACTGTTTTTATGCTTAACCCTTTTTCGTCTTTGACCCACATACATCATTTTCTGAAATGTTACCGCCTGTTTCAAAACATTCCGAGAACATTCGGAAGTAACATTCTCGTATAATGTTTTCAAAATGATTCAAATTGAATGTTCCAAAATGATTCAAATGGAATGTTCCAAAATGATTCAAATGGAATGTTCCAAAATGATTTCAAACGTTTAAAAACTGGCCATTTGAAATGTTCAGAAATAACTTAATTGGAACGTTAGCTAAATGTTCTTAGAACATGTTTTTGTTAGCTGGGATGTAGAATTGACAGGATTTGTTAATTTAATTAAATTACAATTCAAAGAAATTCAACAAAAACACAACAGTGAAAACATGTTTTTCGATAAAACATTAATTTGGACTAATTTAGTTGCTGATACGTAGAGCACATTTTTTTTCTAATATTGTTAAAGCACCAGGTTGTTTTCAGATAATTTGGCTCTATATTTTAGCCTCGGGGTAAACTGCAGCATTCTGGGAAATGAAGTCTTTTACTGTAATGATTCATAAAATCACATTTAA